TGTCTTATCAGCTATTATCCCCTCGCAACGGAGTTGGAGGGGATATAGTAACTCGCTTGTGTGTGTTCTAGTGTGTTTGTAAGTTTGTCCTTGTGTAATTTGCTTTGGTAGAGATGTCGAATGCTGTCTTGATTTATAGATATGCTCTTTGCAGGGGATGCTCCGCTTTGCGGTGCCATTGTTAAATGCTCTTTTCACTACAGCCCATGTTTGTTGTTAAAAGTATAACCCAGGACATTCCTGAATAATGATGAAATTTTTATTAGGTTACAACAGAGACCTATAGTATATAGGTACATATGTATGTGACCCGGTACTGTCGAACTTGAAAAATTTATTGTGTATTAAATGTGTGATTATATTTTTTACTGTAATTCTTATATAGATTCCAAATTGTTAACTATGCCCAGCTATAAATTTAGATTCTTTTTTTCTGACAAAAGCAAAACCAGTTATATTTAGTTCACTTCATTTTAAAGCAAATTTGTTTTTACAAGCAATGACTGAGTAAGCATTTCTAGTGCAGTAATTAAATCTGTCAAGACTTCTCGCCTGTTGGGATAGGAGTGGATGTGGGTCACTTAGTCTCTGTTACCCAAAACAAAAAGCTTTTCCCATTGATGAGTTGACATTTGAAGGTCATGATTTTTTTTCATTTACTCAGTCATTTATTCACTTCATTGTCAATATGGTTTATACAACATGAACAATTTTCTGACTAATTGTAACATATTTATTCTGAAATCAGGAAGTTTCCAAGAGTCTGATCAGTGATCACAGACATCAGCTATAGCTGGGGCATACAGAAATGAGAGAAGAAAGGAGGGGGAATTGTGTTCAGTGACAAGAATAATTTTTTTAAATTTCAACTGCCATGACTCTACATCTAAGCTTCTGTAGTGTTTCCTGCAATTTACCGATACCACCCCTGCCCCCACACCAAAAAGGGAGATACGTATATACATGTAGTTACACAAAATGAGAAATAACATCATCTAAAGTGTTTGGTCTTAGTCGTAACTCATATTAAGTTTTGTAAAACAAAAATGTAAATGTTGTATGGATTTTTTAAAAATAAAAGTTAAGTTAATCAAGGGTACCGCAAAGCGGAGCATCCATTTATTATCTTTATTCGACATCAGTCCCGACGCAATTTACGTCACTTCCGTCTAACACCCTCACTAACTAACACACACAAAAGCATGTTACTATATCCCCTTCAACTCTGTTGCGAGGGGATAATACAAGTAATAGGGTATATAATGTACCCACCAAGGAAAATATTTACAGCCTCAGCAACATCAAAAACAAAATTTTAAAAAAATTTAATGTAATGATATAAAAGATAAAAAAAAAATTGAAAATTTTGTCCATCGTAGCAAACCATGTTATTTTATTAAAAGAATCATTTTGACAGCATCTTGTTTGAGTCGTCTTTATTAAAAACTGAGGAACCAAATATATTTCAGCACATCATTATGGGGATCGACATTCTTTTAAAGTTCCCATATTCCAATTAAATTAATTCTATCAAAAAGTCTTCACCATTGTTTATATCAAACAGCTGCATCAGTGATACAAGTACTTGTTGATAGACATTGATCAGCAAAGTACAAAGAAAGCAATAACTCAACAATAAGGATGTAATACCAGTAATATTTTTTAAAAATGTAGTTATATTACTTATCATATATATAATTTCTGTTTTGAATCACTGATCAATAAAATAAGCTTTTCTTTGTTCAAATATTGGTGAAATTTATAACACAGCCCCCTCCCCAAGAAACAAACTTTAGGTAAAAACTTTAAGAGTAAATAATGCATCATTGTTTAAAACGCACAGTGTGTACTTTAAAAAAAAAACAAAAAAAAACGAGTTGTTGAGTATATTTCGATAAATATTTTCCTTTTTATGTCTTATAATTAATCCTGGACATTTAACTTTGATAGACTTCTAATTGACAAATACATTAGGCTATACACCTAGATTCTGTAACATTTTCCCTAATTTAACCAGAAAAAGGGAGATACATGTGTGTGTTAAATTAATACACAACAAATTAGAAGAAATAGTAACCTTCAAATATCAAAAAAGAGGGTAGCTTGCACTTTAATAGTAATTAAAACCAAATAAATATGTGCCCTTGTAATTCAATTGTTGTCATCAGTTCTGCAGTGCAGTTGTTTACTCTCTATCTTTAAAAACCCTATGAAGCTGTCAACACCTCTTACTAGATTTGTCTGTTTTGGATAGGCGAGCAGGGTCATATATCTGAGCTTAGTTTAGATGTTGTTAATGTATTACCTAGTCTTTGTTTTAAGATGATTCTCTGTTTCACTTTGACATTTAAAGGTCATTCTGCATAGATTTCTTTTGTTTCTTGTTTCATTCATGTTACACAAAGCCAAAATGACATTGCAGGGGAGAGATTGTATGCAAAAGAAATTGTTTCGTTCTCAAACTGTCTGTACTGTTGTGATACAGACTCCACTCCATGACTCCACAAGACTCCACTCCACTCCACTCCACTCAGCTTTTTACCCCAAGCCTATCCTGTGTATGGATGCAATTCTAGAAAACATGTGATGTGATTAAATTAAACATTAAAAATCCAATTAACTATTGATCAATTAAAACAAGGAAACACCTAGTTTATTCAAATATTCAATTACGAACTGATTTATTGAGATGTGCTTCAATTGTCAGGTCATATTTGGTTAATATTTGATCTCATTTTCATCAAAGATATATCACAATATCATGCCCAGCCCCGTCAGTACAAATTATGTCAGATGCAAATACCATGTCGGAATACAAAACAGCACACTGCCTGGGGCAAGTTATTTTTGAAGCATAGATAAATGGAATTAATTTTAATGAAGTATCTTTTGTTGACAATTGACCAAGTTTCTTTATATATTTTGTGTCATTACCAGGGCTATAAAGTACATAAACTCAAATGGCAGTCACAGTAGGTCATTAAACGCAACATCCTCAAGGCAGACAACTCGAATTTTATTTACGAGGAGAGTTCAATAAATAATACAAAAGGTCATAATTTTTTTTTTTAAATCACTATCAATAACAAGGTTTGTTACTGACTGTACATAGAATTTATGGGTTGTGCAAGTCCATGGTAGGTGATGAGGAGAAGCTTTGAACAAACCATAATATTTCTATGGACAGTCAGTAACAAACCTTTAAGTTAGTAAAATAAGTGTTTTGTTTTGTTGAAGACCAATAATAGTTAACAAACCCACCAAGATCAATTAAAATTAAATGATTTTCTCATCTGTGCAAATGTCATTCACTCATACTTTTGTTGTTTACTGATTATGTCACTGAAAAGGGACACTACTCTTAATTTAATCCCTTTATTGAGTTAAAGTACCCATATTATTGGTCCTTTCAAGCCCCCCCCCCCCCCCCAACTTTCACCCTCAAAAAAATAGTTGAGGTATCTTGCCTACTTTAAAAGGGTTTTTGCAAAAAACAGATGAAAAAGCAAGCATTTTTAAAAATTTGGTGATTTGGCTGTTCAAAAATGAACTAAATTACTTCTATATTTAGTATGCTAGATTGCATTGCATATTAAATGCCCCTCTGTGGAGAAATGGAAAATGTATTCTTTATGCAAGATATTTTTCTTTAACCGCATGCATCAATACATATGGTTAATAACATTGAAAAGGTGTCATTGTTTACTCTTGACATGTTTCCTGATTTTGGATGTTTTAATCTCATATTTCTTGAATTGTGAAGGATATATTTCTTTGTATGATTTCAAATATATATGTTGGTAAGATATTTTCTTGTGACCTTGACCTTCTATATGACCTTAACTTCACATTTCTGCACCACATTTTACAATGCAAGTACATGTTTTTTAGGAGGTCTGTATTGGGCTTTTATGTTCTGTGAACAAAGTCTCATCTTTTTATACCTTTCTTTTTTTTAAATTATAATGATTGTTTTATTTTAGGATGGAGAAAAAGTATTAAAAGAACAGGAGGGAAAAAAAGTGCAGGTTGTTCACATAAATTGTTTTTCAATAAATACACATTAAAAACACTCTTTATTTATGAGGGCAGCTAGTCTATAAAAAGTTGACCCTGATTTATTTTTGTACTTTTCCTTGTCAGAAATGTTTTCAAATGACATGGTTAGAATTTAATATCAGCTGACTTCGAGTTTCAACTATAGCATTAATCTGTGTCATTTAAATATGTATTGAAGAGCTTATAGGATGGTAATGTCTGTGTTCCCCCAATAATTAAAGAAGAAACAGATAGTAGATTTCACTCCCGTAAGGTCAATGCTCAGTATAGCTTTTGAAATGACGTAAGCAAATGGTATCTTATAAAGCCAATCTCAATTCAGGTGCTGGACAAATTAAAAAAAAAAGACCTCTTAAAGAAAAGCTTTTGATTCTAAAAATTCTTCCAGTCTCATACAAAAAAGCTTCTCTTTAGGTTAAAGTGATATTTAGAGAAGAAACTGAAAATGAAATGACCATGAATAAAATGTTTTAGGAACACATTTTGTTTTCATATACAGAAAACCAACTATTATTCGCATCATCATTTATTCGCAATTCATCAGTTTGAAATCAATCCATAACAAGTAATTTTCGTGACTAATGAATCATCCTCTACAAAGTCAAAGCAAAATAAATGATTTGCGGCAATTAATATTCGCGAGTTGAAGTAGGTTGCGAAACTCTCAGATATTTCTTGCACGCAAGTAAAAGTTAGTTTACAGTATATTGATATCAAAACAGAATAAAACCCCTGTCATGATGAAATTAACAGCTGTTACAGATAATGCACTCAAACTCTCATGTGCTTCATTTTGTTATAATTTGTTAAATAATAGTGGAATCTTATACTGGTTTATATATCATTTTCTACATGTTCAGTTATTTATTTAGTTTTTACATTATGTAGATCTATACACAGTATAAATGACAAGATATTAAATTGTGAAATATTTCTTAAAACTTCTTATTGTAGAACTCTCATTGATATTCTTTATAATTTAACTAGGATATGAAACATGATAAAATGAAGATGGAGCAACTTCATGGACCGTCCCCACTGGATCCTTACTTGGTATGTATTTAAGAAATAAGGGTCTAAGAGATGATAAGGACACTGGGAGATGTGATAGTATTTTGCATAAGTGGCTTTATGAAAGAATGCTTTCATGGTTATCCTCATAGACACCAAAAAAGAGATAATATATTTTTATTTCACAGTCAGTATAACCCTACCTGGTTCTAAGTATAGGTATAAATACAGGCACATGAATTAAAATTATATAATTGCCCTTCATCCCCACTCTTCCTGTTAAATGTATCCCTCCTCCTAATCAATAATAATTATTAGAATATACAACTTCAAAATGTTATACTTATTTAGACTATATCAATGTTTTATCTTCTGCAGTTCTAAATGTTGTTTATTACCTAAAACAGCTGAAAATTGTCTATTTTTATTACTGAAGTGGGCTGTTCTATAGACTCCCTACAATATTTACACTCCATGATTTTACTCATAAAGCAATAAAAATGTCAACTGATTTTATTATTTTATGATCATAAAAATCAATCAATATATGATACAAATGAATTTTAAAATAACTAAAGGATATTTTAAATCCAACAAAAGTTCAAATCATCTGCATTCCATAGACGACTTTCAAATTACCGTAATACAAGAGTTATTTCCCTTCAATCTGGGGTCAAGCAGCAAAAAGTACTGTTTTCCCTCTATAGCATTACCAACTTTATGGGAAAATGTCTGGCAAATGAGAACCAAAGAAAAAATCTTTTCATAAATGTAGTGTACATTCAAGTTTGTTCAAATCATGGCCCTAGGAGCTTGGGTGGGACTATGTTCTGAAGAAAAGGAATGCCAAGGTGACTCAGGTGAGTGTTGTGACCCATGGGCCTCTTGTTAACAAGTCAGATTCAGCTAATTTTCATGAAAGCATAATATCATCAAATTTGATTCTTGTCACAGAATCACATAGCTATTTTTTTTCCCTTTATGTACACATATTTGAAAGTTATATAAGTAAAATAGGGTCATCATTCTCTGTCTGTAGAATATTCCTAGAATTAAAAGTCCTTTCCACCTACCACCCTCTAGACAAGGAAATAAAAAGTATGCCTTAGGTGAAACAGACACTATTGGTTTAACATGTTCTATTCTGGATTTGTGTGGGTAGCAGGCAAACAATTTGACTATTCCTGTATTATCTTTAGATGTAACACTAATGCTTGCTGCATTTTTCAGCATATATACAGAATGATATTGATCAATCTAGTACGTAGGGATTCATTACACCCACATATACAGCAGTGATATTAGACTTTGTTAAAACAATCCAGGGCCAGGTGACAAGAGTGTTCATCAATAACACATTGTTGTGCATTGTTAAAATGTACAAAATAGAGTTAAAATATGTCATATTGATATGATAGCTTCCTCATGTAATACATAAAGATTCTAGAGTTTAATGTATTGAGGATTACTGGGATCAAGGGGAGACCACTGTTACATTTTACACAGGAATGTATAGATCCTCACAAGAACAAGGCTAATGCAAGTACTTTGTGAAAATATGCAAACATCAATACTTTTTCTTTAATTGTCTTGTTTTGAAGTCTATGGGCGATAAGTTGATTGGAACATAAGTAAACATATTGAATGAGCACGTACTGATGTTTGATAATCATGCTAAAGACCCCAAAACTAAACTTTTTTTTCTATTCACATTTTTGCAAAATGATGGAAGGTCCTTGATCATCCTTTTTCTTTCGTTATTGGGCAACATATCTTTATCAGTTATTTTGTTTTATTATTATATTCTTATTAAATTATGATTCTATGGCTCTTTTAAAGGGTTGTATTATACTCAGGTGACTGTTAAGGCCTTTGGGCTTCTTGTTTTTAAAATTATAAGTAATCTGCCACTGCACCTCAACCTTTATCTTCCAGCAATAAGTCTTCAAACTGGATGGTACAGTGTTGTTTAAAATTCAAGGATGTCTTGTAGATCTATTAAAGTGTTTTAATGGTCATTAAACAGTATATAACCTTTTTCATGTAATTTTACTCAAATAGATCTATGAAACTTACATACCGTTAATATCGCATAAAAGGCGAATCAAAATGGAGAGTAGGCTTTTAGCTTAATGAAAGTCATTTACATAAAGTATAATTCACTAGTACACTTCAGAGTTAGGGAAATATTTCCTGGAAAAGGATAGGAAGCATTTAATTTGAGATAGGAGGTCTTTTTAATGCTCTGACTGATGCTATTTATGGTGTCTTATATTATGGTAGTACTTTTTGATGTTATTAAGTACTGCTTAATTGTACAAAACATGAAGAATCATTAATATGTTAAATAAAAATCTAACAACAATGTTTAATAGACTACTGATAAAAACTATATGATATAACAGAAGACACTCATATAACTATAAGTTCATATGACCTCAAAGAAGTAAAGGAGAGCATATTCTATACCCCCATTGTTGTCTCTGGTAAAAGTCCATTCCCTAGCAACTATATATAAGCCCAGTGGTGACCAAACCTGCATGGATGATGCATTCTGGGATGCTTACTACAAGTCATGCTTTGGATATTGCATCTGACCCTTTTTTTCTGGATGAATGGCCTTGGCCAGATGCAGGTCCATTCTCAAGTTAGTTACTGTCAGCCCTACCTTGACCATATTTGCATGAATGATGCAACAATGAATGCTACCTTGGTTGCTTCATGTCCTGCAACTGACACATTCTCTGCATAAATGGCTCTTGTCCATTACTTGGTAGCTGCTTATCTGGACCAAACTTGCTTGGATGATTCAACTAGAGCCAGTTGACTTAGGTGCCGCATTTTTAGTGACATGTATTTTCAGTTGTTTAATGATCATAAGGCCTGAAATGGTGAACAGTGTGTAGTAACTTATTTCAATATTTGCAATAACATGACTTGGACCTTCAGATTTATGATGCTATCATTAGCTATTATTAGAATGGTTTTATTAAAACTTCTTGGTTAACATCATTGCTAGCCAAGGGTTTCTGATACTCTCCTCACAAACCCGTGGCCTATGGTTCTGTCAAAGTCGGGACTGCATATTTACATCATGTGATCTAATGCACAGATTGCATCATTGACAGAAATAGAAAGCAGATTTAAAAATTAAAGTGTTTAGAGAATAACTAACGAGACGGGATCGAGCAATGTTTGTTATTTAGGGTGCAAATCTACATCTGCAATATAGATTTCTGATCAAATTATTTGCACATCAACTTAAGATTGGATGATGCCATAGCTATTTATAGAATGACATGTTATCTTACAGATCTTTGTTTACTAACTCACGATGTATCTCGAAAGCATATATCATCATCTACAAAAAGAATTACGAAGAGCAATTGTTGATTTGTTGAAAGATATCAATCAACTCCAATCACAACTCGAGAAAAAAATTCCAACTTTTTTTTAACACCATAGGCCAAGGGTTTGTGAGGAGAGTAGCGGATCAGAAACCCTCAGCTAGCATTTTTAGGATGCTTGGTTAAATGCAGGATACACCATCAAAAATGTCCCTAGTTCTTTAACTGTGAAATAAAAACATAGATTTTCAGAATTTAAAAAGCAAGAGTTTTTCACAAAAATGCACACACAGAAGTCATGCTCAGAGCATACTAAGGGCTGGTCCACTGAGTAAACCGAGGTTAACATAAATCAATGTCCTGCCCATAATAGTAACTAATCAATGTTGTCAAAAATTTAAAGTGAACCAACAATGAGATATGACATACATACATGTATGATGTACATTAAATATTGCAGAATAAGTTAGTTGGGATATTTAACCAGGTGCATGTGGACCAACTGAAGTATTAAATCCTGAATTTACTGAACATAATTATTGTAATTTTGTGTTGTTTTTACCGGTACTCGATCCTGCTGCTTTCTTTTAAAGCAAAGTTGGCTTCCAAAAAGGAAGGAATAGTTGTTTTATTTTGATATATCTAACATACTAGAATATTTGCATCATTACTAGATGCAGATATGTCATCATTATTCTAAAATTTTGAAAGACTTTGAATGACAATGTGTGTTCATCCATCCCAAATTTTCATTAGTAGTAAGCTATAGATCAGCTGCTTCTTCATAGCAGATATTGATTGATACCGTAATTAATTAAAACTTTCTGGAGAACTAGAGTTGGGTCATACTACTGAAACATTTCTTCGAGATATATCTGTCAGTGAGTCATGAGAGGGAGTATGTATACTAATTTTGACAGGGTATAATGTTAATGCGGTTATATGAAAAAAGAATGCTCAATGACTAATAATATTGGAACATTATGATTTTTGAAAATTGAAAAGCAATTTTTTAAAATTTCCATGAATTTAAAGATGTAACTTCCTCTTGATTCTTAAAGGTTGGAAAGTATATCTGATTATATCATGGTGAAAACATCAATGAATATTGATTTTCTTATATAAGTTTTCATGCACCAGGTGCTGCAGGCTCCTATTAAACATAGTGATTGGATATATACTGATTTTTAACCTGCTTTTAAAACATTCAGATAATGTATTATTCTGCTATAAAAGGTCTGATTCCACTAGATGTTGACTGACATGTTTATTAGGAGATTAAACAGCATGGTGAAGCAGAAGATCGATTCTTTCTCTTTGCATTCATTTTTATGTAATTTGATTGGTTGTCATGTCCAGTTAGATTTTCTTTGTATATGTAAAATATCTTTTCACTTCAGTCACTTTCCTCACTAATTATAGACACAGTTATTGAGTCGGAAATGATGGTTTTTATCAATGAACTGAATAATTTGGAAAGTAAGTTCAAGAGACTGATATTTCACTATCATCTTATCTGATAGTGAGGTGATGTGTTTTCAATTTCAACTGTTAAGACTATCAAATATCTGTGATCGTTTCTCTGGACTATTTTCCAATAACTTGGCATGATATCATGTTTCATTTACAAAACACGTACAGGCGAGATTCGTGCCTTTTTATACACAACCAATGTATAGAAACATGATTTTAATTTGATACATATACTGTATATACAATGTACCAGTACATGTAACTATTTATCTGGATTTTCTTCGTACATTATTCAAACAATCCTTTTCAAGTATACCTCTTAAGGCCAAGTACTTAAAATTATGAACATTTTAACAATATGTGTAATGAATAAGTGAACTTGTTTGTTGTTAAAGTGCTTTGCACAGTTATACAAACCAGAGGCTGCACCCAGAAAATGAGAACAGCATCGAAATTACACCTGGTCACGTGCCACATGCCAAACACTACAGTAGCTGAGGAAGTTCTCTGTGGTTCTACCGCTTACATCTGGAGGAAGTCTGCATCAATGCAGGGAATCAAGTTGTCATTCATTCAGTGCAGGCATTATTAGAGGAAAAATATTACATCCTATTCATAACATTGTGTCTATTCACTCAGATGACATAATCTGCACAGGGTTTTGGTCTCCTTTCAGTGGTATAATTGTATCTTTAAAAAAAACAAAACAATGAAAGCTCTGTTTTTTTTGAAAAATATTTTTTGAGTGAATTTTCAAGCTCTTTGATCCAAATTCAGTTGTGCAGGCAAAATTTTTGCTCTACTGCTCAGAGACCAAAAGAGTTTATGTGATAGTAAGATGTCTGTCGTCTGAATGTCTGTCTGTAAATAATTTTTCAAGACACTACTCCTACAGTTAAGGTCCAATTTCAATAAGACTTGGTGCAGAAGTACACTTATACTAAAGATACATAATTCTACAGTTTTGGTCAGATGTAAGTAAGACTTCAGATTATAACACAATTATACTATATTAAGATACATAATTCTCTTTTTTACTGTTTTTTATTTCTACAAATGGTGTTGCCATGGTTACTACCCTACTCCTCTTACAGTTCTGGTCCAATTTCAAGAAGACTTGGTGCACTGGCACACTATACAAAGATACATAATTTTTATGATGGATTTTGATTTTTACAACCAGTGTTGCCATGGTTTCTAAAAATTAATCTCTCTGAAATCCTTTTAAAAATGCTGCAGTTTTTGTCCAATTTCAGTAAGACTTGGTACACAAGCAGACTACACTAAGATGCATAATTCAGTTTTGCCAAATATAAAAATTTAAATTTCTGTAAAATTCTTTCAAATGCTACTCCTACATTTTCAGTCAGATTTCAGTAAGACTTGGTACACAAGTAGACTATACTAAGATACATGTACACCAAGTACTCGCAAGTACTCACTAGTAGAGCTACAGTCTCATCAGAGACCTGGTTACCTAATCCACCTAGAATGTTGCATTCAAAGAAGATCTGACACATGATGTTTTTTTACTTTTAAAATACATTCAGAAAATTTATTTCCTTTTAATGAAAAATGGTGTGAATTTTTCAGTATTAAATGACAGAAGGTCATTATCATTTTATGATGTCATGGTCATGAATATATTTTCTTAAGACTGCATTTCTGAATTGAAGTGACTTTGGATGATATCCTATCATAAAGTCCCCCCGCCCCCCAAATGATGAACTTTTTTAAACACTCATCTTTCTTTCCATAATGTAATCCACAAATCTAAGGTTTCGCATTACTTTACATATAATACTAAGTTGTAATTGGTTTGTTTAGAACCCTTTATTTTTACATGGAGTGGCCTAATATTTGTTTTATATTATGTGTGGTTTATATCCACAGCTGGCTTGTGAATAATCTTACTTTTACAACTAAAAATTCCTTTTTGATAGCTACCCCCACAGAAGGAACTGAGGAGTCCATACAAGTCCATGCCAGGCCCTGGTAAACATGAGGTACCGGTCCCTTCTAGTTACTGGGATGCTGCCCAGATCCTCCAGCAAGTGAAGGAGAACAGAGTCACATTGGAGGCCAATCTGGAGGCTGTGTTTAGGACAAGGCAGGAGGCCGAGGTCTATGCCTTGATGGAGAATCTTTACCAAGAGGGGTATGAGCACTGAAACTTCTTGTTACCTCAACAGGAATTGCCAGGAAATCTTCTGTAGCTGTAACATAGCTACATGCAGCTTTTCATTACTCATAGCAGGAAACCTTTTCTAGCTGTAACATAACTAGCTTTTCATTAGCCATAGCAAGCAACATTCTGTAGCTGTAACCTAGCTAGCTTTTCATTACCCATAGCGGAAACCTTCTGTAGCTGTAACATAGCTAGTTTTTCATTACTCATAGCAGGAAAGCTTCTGTAGCTGTAGCATAGCTATCTTTTCATTACCCATAGCAGGAAACCTTCTGTAACTGTAACATAGCTAGCTTTTCATTACTCATAGCAGGAAAGCTTCTGTAGCTGTAGCATAGCTATCTTTTCATTACCCATAGCAGGAAACCTTCTTTAGCTGTAACATAGCTAGCTTTTCATTACCCATAGCAGGAAACCTTCTGTAGCAGCAACATAGCCAGTGATTGATTCATTATTTTCTTCAAAAGATTTCTTTCAACCAAATACATTGTACACTGTATTTGCATTAGATATTTAAGAGTTCTTCAGTATGGTAACATCCAATACATAATAAATCAGTCAGGATTCACATACTGTAAACCAACTTTTATTGTGTGGGAGAAATATCAACAAGTTTCGCAACCTACTTAAACTCGCGAATATTAATCGCTGTGAACCAAATATTTTGCTATGTATTTGTAAAGAATGTTTCCTCAGTCGCAAAAATTAATTGTCACGGATTGATTTCAAACTGACGAATCGCAAATAAAAGATGACGCGAGTAATAGTTGGTTTACAGTATTTTTTTTAATTATAATTCAAATGTGAATTCTGATTTATTATTGCAGTATATAAGGCATTGTTTTGCACAGGGGGCCAGAGTTTGAATAAATTAATTTATAGGCATTTTATATAAGCAGTTGATTGTTATTGACATGTGTACACCTTCAAGGAAAAATTAGAAAGATCAGTTTAATATATATTTAAAATGTGTTGATGACACCTGTCAAGTCAGTTTCTTCAAGTTGTTTTTAAACAATATATAGATAATAATATCCTATTTTGTCAGCTTTAGAACATTCACTTGATCAAAATGATTCAATAATAGTAAGCCTGATGGAGTTAATGTTCTTGAGGTACTAGACCTCAATTTTGTTTTTGTTTTTTTTTTTGAGAAAAAAAAAATCCAGTAAATGATTATGCGATTCTAAATAAACATCGCTATTATTTAAGTAGCAATCATTGTTTTCAATTTTTCTTTCACCAAAGGAATAATGCAGATATGCTGAGAATCAGGAAAATGGTAGACAAAAAGATAGCTCTTCTGCATTCCCAGGTGGAGGTCTGTATATGATATGTACAGTTATATTTATTGTGAAGGTGATGAATCATAAGAAACTATGGTGTATCTGTATATCATCCAAATATGTGTATGTAAAATAACAACATTGCATAAAATGTTTTTATTTATAACTCTACATGTAATGTAAAGTTTTATTTTCAGCTTATCTGAAGAAACTCTATTTTTTGCTCTATATTTATCAGAGAGAAGTTACAGATGATGTGATTTTGGCTGAACTACAGAAAAAGGAAGCCCCAGTTCTGATCAAGCCCAACACCATTGGACAGCAAAAATCTGCCCCATACACCCAGAGGGCTACAGCAAGGGGCAGAGTGGGGGCAAAGATTGACACTGGGCTCAGCAAAATTAAGGGTCCTAGCTTTGGTCCACCACCCAGTAAGGCTGTGAAAGGGAAAGAAATTAAACCATCAACCACTACAATATTTAAACCACCCACTGCAAAGGTAATTTAAGGGAAAAGTTTTGCAAAGGAGTAAAATTAAGGGTACAGTAATATATATATATATAATCAGTTTCTTTCATTTTGAACATTGTATGTATTAAAAGGTCCTGAATGAGACATATATAGATGATTAATAATTAGCCACTGAGATTTGCTGATGGTGTCTGGGTCAGCCAATTATTGTCTTTCTACAGCTTTGAAAAAAAAAATGGGATCATTTAATTACAAAAAAATGAGTTATGACCTTAGAGCTAAATCTTGGTCACTGTAGGGGATTTATTTTTTGATTAATTGTTAGATAATGCCAGTATGATTCAGGTGAGCATTATGGTACACGGGGCTTTTCTTTTACAGCAGCCAAAGATAAGGTCTGTCTTTGAGGATGAGGAATACATGACTAAAGTTTATGGGAAAGCCTCTTATCAAAACAAGAGAACCACAGTCAAAGATCCATACCTACATTACCAGAATGTACCCAAACCAAAGCCAGACAGGCCTGCTGGGGCACCTGATATGTCCAGTAAGTTGTAAATAAGGACAAAAAGAGTTGGCTTAGAACTAGTGGCAACAAAGAAAATTTTAATTGAAACAACACTTCACAGATAGCAAAGGCCTTTTGAACAAGAATTAGTAAGCACAAGTTTTACATTGATAATATGAGGATGTTCATTGATACATATGTGGATTCTGATTATGGTTTTCATTGTTATTTTAAGCTGCTCATTTGGTCAAGTCATCTAAGACCCAGACTACCCCAGGGATAAAACAGTTTTACTTCAGTCCTACCCATGGTACATACATCCCTGTTACCTCAGCAGAGCATGGTATGTTTGTGGAAAAATTTTAAAATCAAACCTGACAGTAACATGTTCTATCTTTGAAAATTTTTGGATGTGACCACCATAATTCTATATTTTCTTTCCTCCTCATTTCATTATTTGGTATTATTGAAACTGCTTGAAGATTTTATGTAAGAAATATAACTGATAAATGCACACTTATGTTAATTTGAGTGACCAAATAAATTCTTTGTAATCAGCTCCCATACCAGGACAGTTGGTACCCATGGCAGTGCCCCTTGGTGGTCCTCGAATAGACAGTGGACTAACCTACTCTGCCCCACCTCCTCCTGGGCCCCTCACTACCTCTACCCCTGCCTCCCAGCCTCCAGTGTCAGCCCTGAAGAATGTTGCTGTCGTATCTGTTCCAGTAGTGGATGACCTTAGGAAGCCTCCAGAACCTGAACTTAGCAAACAGGTATGAAAAAAATTAATTTAAATGATTAATATACTCTCACTTTGAAAATGGGGGACCAGGTCATACTGTAAACGTATTACATTTAGTAGTTTTCGTAAAATCAAAAACATCACTAAATGTCTTATATATTATGTGTTTATATCTAGCACATACAGAGAGCACTAAATCAGATCTATGCTAACTTGAAAAATTAATTTCTGTCAAATATTGTACATGCCAAATATATGCATTTACAGTATATAGTGTACATGTAATTCACATTAAGCCATTTGTCTCACTAGATCTGAATTGTGTGCCATTAATTAAAAACTTTCACTGAAAATTAATTATGGTTTAACTAAGTACAGATTGTAATGATAAAAGTTGAGCCAAATTGAAATTTTTACCCATTTTTTTTATGAAGTTAATATGAGAATCTCTTCTTACCTGTTCAGAACTAGCGGTAAGATTTTAAATTCCATGCTTTTAATCAAAAATGCCCACAGTAAAGTTATGATGTTTTAAATACAAGAGAAAAAATTACCTGTTTAAGATTTCGGATAATTCTTAGACAGTTAATACTGGTATTAGATTTCATACAGACCTTTCTGTCACAGCAACAATGATAAAATTAATGCAAAAATTAAAATGGAGTCACTGTTATTCACAAAGAAACTTAATGCATTTACATGTATATCCATTTGTATTTTATTTTTGGTACAGTAAGCTACTCTGTATGATGATTAGCAAATCGAAACAAAATATGCACATGTAATATAATTTCTATTTTAACAGGTTCTACCTAGTGTAGATATAGACACTGACATATCAGAAACTTCACCGATTCCAAAATCCCGCCCAAGATCTCCATCACCAGACAAACTCCGGTCCTTGTCCCCAGAGAAAGACAATGTGAGTCTGAGTCGAGCCTCCACACAACATGGGGAGGTACAGCTGAGGTCCCCCAGCAAAAGCAGGCTAGAGGTCACTTTCCACAGAGAGGAAGATGAGGTTTGAAGAACAATTATAGAGTTGTTAATTAGAGTTCAACCTGTTGATAGATTCTGTCATATTCATATGTTTTCCAAATCTTGTAATGTCCCTCTCAAAGGACTTTGGATGAATAAATTTTGATTATTTTTCTCACCCCTACTACAGCTGATAGTGTGCTTGCAAAACTGGAAATTGTGGGGAGGTTATAATTGATTTTAAATACATGTAATTACAAAGAGGTTGTTAGGGAATAGTAAGCATTAAATCAAAGTAGTTTGAATACTAAATAAAATATACAGATGCTGTGAGTAAGTTATTGACATACAAAATTGCTTTCAATATGAAATCTACATGACTGGGCATTTATTGGGTTTATGTATTTATTCAGAGAGATAAACAGTAGTATGACTAGTTTAAGATTTTGCTTGCTTAGAAAGTCAATTCTAGTTTGAATAGTTTACATTGTTACAGGTTAGTTGCCAGAAGATAAATTGATAGGTCATCTAACAATATCATTCAACATCCTAACTTTAGTACATGCTTACTGATCACTACACTTATTGGTTACCTTTAATGGATTGAGAATTAATTCTTATAGGAGACCCTCACTGATGTTTCTGGAGACTTGAACCCAGAGGATGCTCCTGGCATTGCCCTGCCAGGGTACCACCCTCCCTCCCCACCCCCAATTGAGTCCAGACAACCTGTGTTCCCCCAGCAAAGGCTGTTGGATTACAATGCCCCAGTTGTGTCTGATGTTTTAGCAGAAGACATTCGAAGAAGGGATGATCTGGAGAAGAGGGCTGAAGAATGGTAAGTCAGAGTCTAAAGATGTAGCACTATACAATTATCGACTGTTTAGAAGGGAGCCATCACAAATTATCAGGTCTGAGTAGGGTTGTCACCCCAGGGGTGCTTGCATTAGAATTTATTGTTTACCATTCCCACATTTATAATTATTAAAATGTCTGAGTTATCTTGACATTTTATTGTCTTCTAAAGGGGAACAACACAGTTGTCACCCTGGTTGTGAGGTAGACATCAAGAATTGTCTTCCTTCACATGACAGCTCTAGAACGATCAGACTGACTGTATTGCTCTGAAGAAGAATAATAAATCTTTTCCTCAGAATTATTGCAGGAAATCAGGAGAATTTTTTCACATAAATTTATACAGTAAAACATGCTTACAGCAAACATGCTAATAACAAATCGACGCTTACAGCAAAGTGATTTTCATTCCCCGTAAGTTTGAAATATATTGTTAGCTATGGATATAACGAATTATGCTTATAACGAAGGAAAATCGTCCGTCCCTGGCACTTCGTTATAAGCATGTTTTACGGTAGGATTTAGGTTTTCTTCCAAAGAAGTAGGAAATACGGTATACAACATAAAATTGTTCAGCCAAATATATTTAATAATTATATCATGTAATTGATATATAAGCAGCATAGACTTTATAAGGATTTTACAAAGCAATATTGTTGTCATCAAATATGTACTTACATGTATTTACAGGCTCCAGCAGGAGTTGCTGGCAAAGATGATTTCTGAGCTCTGTCCAACTGAGGTGGAAGAGGAACCTCCTCCTGGTCTTCCACATTTTGTGGATGAGGACTCCATACAGAGTGAGGTGGAGGACAAGGAACAGTCTATGTTTGGTGAGTGACGGATTCTCATGCTTTCACCATGATATGCTATAACAAACGTGCAATTCTTTTTTTTAAAAAACTTAGCTGAGCCTGCAGAATTATTTTATTTTGCTGTTGTACAATGATGATGATGATACAGAATAAATGTAATTTTTCTTTTTTCCTTTGCCCAAATTTTAAAAGAATCATGAAATTTGAATGTTGAATTTCTTTCTAAAACTGTTCTTTAATAAGCCTTTCTTTGCAATGCTGCACCTTTACTTTTTTTTAATGTATCGGTAGTTGTATGATCTTAAGATTTGGAAATAGTTTGAATTCTGTTCCCACAGTGGAAAGGAACTATTGGGTAAAAACTTGAATTCAGAATTTTTATAAACTTGGCTGTGGGTGGGACCTATATATTATAGAAAAAAATAAAATAATACTTGAATTGGCATTGTATAGTGCAGAAAACTTTACAAAATAACTACCTGAAGCTCCCTAAGAGACAGTACAGTAAAGTTCAACATAAACTTTGTAAAAATGCATATGTTGTTTAAAGAGCTCTTTTTATTACCTGTTAGTGATGGACTCGATTGGCAGAGCTGGCATGCAGTTATTTGTGGACGTTGGTCAGCCAGTGAACACTGACCTTGTCAACAGTTTGATCCGTGAGGTCCTGGTGGAGAAAGTGGTCACCGCGTTGGGACAGCGACCATCGGATGAGAAGGAGACAGAACAGAGAGTCGTTCCCAAATTATCAGCCACTGTAGATGAGGACAAAATGGGAACCACAGAACCATCCCCAAGGGTAAGTACAAAGGTGATATCTGTCTTTGACAGAATTTGAAAATATCAGAACATTTTGTCCAAAAAAAACATTGCAAACTGTGAATATGAAAGGAATCCTTTATTTCTTAAACTTGATATAACAGTTTAAAGAATGTATGGTTCTGAATAACTAATATATTTGATTTTCTTAAAGCATTAACTTGTATATCAATAAACATTTTTGTATTAAAACCTGTTAATTAATGGATATTTTTCTATTTACAGGAGTATTTGTATAGCCCAGACCAGATAGAGACACCCCAGCCTACCCCAAAAGCCACCCCCATAGCCTCTCCAACCAGGGTTGTATCTCCTCCAGTAACACCAGAGCTCTCCCCTCTACCTTCCCCAAGGCAAGAGATGGTGAGAGTGGAACCACCCCCACAGCCTGTAAGACTTCCACCACAGCAAGAGGCCGAGTCAGAAATATCAGAATCTTTGGATCTCAGTGAAGAGCTCAGAATCCTGAGACGTACGTCAGCTATCAATAAAAAAAAACAATTCAGCTGTGTGCTGAATTTTAAACTGATTTTGATTTCATACTGAGATTACATTACAAAGAATATGAGTAGCAATGTCTGATTATTTGTTAAATGTAAGTCATTGTTATGAATAACATATATGGCAGGATCGAAATGACATAAATCACAGAACATAGTGATGTATTTATTCTATTTTAATTCACAGAAAAATTGGTTGTCCCTGTGACTACTGAGTCAGTAGCAGAAGTGCATGAAATTGAAACCCCTGTACCAACTCCAATCCCTGAAGAGGAGCCCCCTCAAGAGATCAAGCCAATATCCCCTCCCCCACCCACTCCAAGACCCGTGGAATCTCCCTCTAAGGTAGGTAGAGCTCAGAGGTATTAAGAATGGGTGATATTGTTTAATTTTGTAGTACTGAAAGTGTTATACACTTATGCTGTGTAAAATATTAGATCATTGAATTGATTTTATAACTTTACCATTCTAGGCTGTGGAATCTCCCCCTGTTGAGGTTAAGCAAGTGGAACCTCCCAAGATGGTCCAGGAGGAGACTGCTGTTAAGAAACCAGAGGAGGTTACTGAGGAGACAGATAAAAATCCACAGCCATGGGGAAACCCAGAGTCACCCCGCCCAGAGGAAAACCCAGAATACAGGGATGAAATGGAACCAGACCAACCAGCACCTATGTAAGTTGGCAAGATACTAAGATGTATATTCAATGAAGGTTGGTCAACATAGGGTTTGTTTGCTCTTGAAAAATAGTGCACACTTGCTTTTTGGCTCTAAGATTTATGTAAGTTGGCAAGATACTAAGATGTATATTCAATGAAGGTTGGTAAAAATAGGGTTTGTTTGCTCTTGAAAAATAGTGCACACTTGCTTTTTCAGCTCTAAGATCAAAAGGAAGATTCATTTTGGTCTCTCCATCTGTCTTTCTCTTTGTGTGCAACTTTTAATCTTGTTAATGTTCATGTTCTTTCAGAAAGATCATTTAACGAAGGATTGAAAATTCTCATCTGGTCAATGCATTCATAATTGCATGCACAAATACCTCATACATAGCAGGAAGTTAAGTTAGTCATGACCCTGACTTCAGGGCATTTTGACAAGGTCAAGGTCACATGAACTGGAAGTTGGTTCTGAATAATGTAGTAGAGAAACATTATTGAAGCTCATTTTTTGAGTCATGACAGTTGTTTTGAATACCAGTTGGAGAGTGTGTCATGACAATAAATCAAGGTCATTTGAAGGACACAGAAATTTATAACATAAAAATTTACTGAGACATTGGTTGGATTTTCAAACATCCATTGGTTTTAGTGTATCCTGTTAGGGCAAGTATAGGTTGGTCAAATATGTCCACATTGCAACTGGATATATGTTTCAGGGATATACATATTGTTAGAGAAGTTTTATAAACTTTTTAAATTGTCAGGCATTTAACTGTGAACGATAATGATATATAAGGATTTTCTGGGAACACCTATTTAGTTTGTGATGACCAAGATTTCTAATGATGTATAAAGGAAAATATCATTCATATTCCTTGGAAAAATTAAAAATAATTAAATATAATTATGTTTATACATGTATATGTTATAGGATTATGCAACCACCAGAGAGCAATGTAACTCAGGAGGACAGAAGATCTCCTTCTCCCAAGAGAAAAAAATCACCTGTCCGTCAGCCTAGCCCCGCCCCCTCACTTACAGAGAGCGTCTCGGAGTCATCAATCTCGGACACCATTAACCAGAGTGTGTCAGAGGGACAGTGGCTTCTTAACAAGAGCGAGGGAGAAGTGGCAGACTTTCCCATAGATGAAGGTAGGTTCTTGTAATGCTTATTTACTCTTCCCTCTGTAAGAGAAATTTTACATCCATTTCTGTTCTTACAATTTATATTTAAAACCATGCATATGCTCCTGCAATCCAAACTCCACCAAAGTCATGCACACTCGAATTAGACTCGGCCTCGTTAAAAGTGGGGGTTGTGACAATTTGGACTATTAGGATTTTCTTATATTGATAAAAAATTTGTGAAAAAGAATGGGGGGATATAAGTACTATGTCCTCAACAAATGATTTTGCAATCGCTTTGATTGTAATTGATATCTATCATTACAGTAACAAGACAGCGGGCCTTACAGAAAGCTTTGAGGCTGAGAGCTGAACAGAGTATGGCAAGCACACTCAAAGATACCTCAGAAATTCCTGTGAGTATGGGAACATGGTTTTCATATCTGAATTCAACTATTCATTTTTCTTTTTGTGTTTAAAATGAACAGGTAAAGGATCATCATACACAGGGTTGTACTTGCTTACTGCAAAATTTGAGATTATATTGAGTAGAAATTAATACATGTATTTTGTGAAATAGGATGAGTCGACAGAATTTCCCATTAGTGAGGGAGAATTCCAATACAACCCAGCCATTGCTCCAGAAAAGGACCCTGTACTTTTGTTACTGTCGAGACTACAGCATGGTCCTATCCACCCTGGACAGCTGGACATGACATCAGCACAGGTCTCGGATATACTGGACTACACAGGCACCAGCACTGGTAAGGGGACATTATCTAAATGTAGTGTATAAATGTGTACTATTTTTATTCATTCCATTATAAAATTATACTACCTACGAGTTTATCCATTCCTGTGTCTGTGGTAGTTAAAAGAGCAATGAAATAATTCTATTATTAACCTTTGATACTTGGACATTACCACCACAGTTTTTTACTTTAGATAAACAGTAACCTGTCTATTTATACATGTTAAGACTTTATCTACAACAGTACTGAGATTTTTTGTCAAATTTTTTCCCTTAAATTTCCTGCTGAACCACCATTGCATTTCATCTCAATTATTTTGTTTTATGAATAACTAACCACAGAAATATTTTGAATTCCTAAATCTACATGTAGGTGACCTCAGTATAAACCAGTTGAGGGCCTCAGTTGACAGGAGTATGGGAGAAGTCCGCCCAAAGAAGCACCGCAGACAACATGCCTCTCCTGAAAGGGATTATGGGAAATATGCCTCCCCAGAACGGGATTATGGGAAATATGACTACGGCAGACAATTGCGATCTCCGTCTCCTGACCAGACAGGAAGACAGTCTCCAAGTAGAGGAAGAGTGTCCCCTGGTTATCGTGAAACTTCTGGAAGAAAATCTCCCCACAGAGGACATGAATATGATGAGGGAGGTAGAAGATCTCCAAGCAAAGGAAGAGCATCTCCAGAGAGAGGGTATGGTGGCTATGAAAGAAGAGGAAGAGATGCCCCTCACAGAGATTGGCAACAAAGGGATCAGCGAGATGGGTGGTATTCCCCACAGAGAGACCAGCGAGATGGGCGGTATTCCCCACAGAGAGACCAGCGAGATGGGAGATATTCCCCACACAGAGACCAGCGAGATGGGAGATATTCCCCGCAGAGGGACCAACAGGGCAGGCGATCTCCTCTCAGATCTAGTTTAGAAAGTGGAAGAAAGTCTCCCATGAGAGTTTCATATGAAATGGGTGAGACTATCACCAAACATTGCATGTTTTTAGAAGATTTTTTGTAAAAATGAAACAATATGTATAAAGCACCATTTTTAGGTGAAAACATCTACATTAACTATCATATGGTAGGTAATTATGGTAGAATGCTTATTTTGGATATGCTACAATTGAATCTAGATAAATCAATTTATTATCAAAAATAACAAGTTTTTAATAAATTTAGGATGATATTAAAACTCTGATTTCTTTCAATCATTAACTCATTTATAACATGGTATACATGTACTTTTTGACTTGAATCTGTAAAATTATCATTCACCAAAATAACTCTCTTCTATGATATTTTGAACAAGCTTAGTAATTGCACATGTATGTGCAAGAAAATTTTAAATTCTTTGGACAAAACGAAAATTTGAATTATAGATAACCTCTCCAGTACTTATGATAGTTTTCAAGATTGTAAAATTTGTCCCCCTTTCCATGTTTAGATTCTGAAGGCAGAGATGTTGAAAGATATATTGTGGAAACTACAACCACTACAACCAAGAAAACAACAAGGACCCCTCCTCATGGTACCCCCAGTAGAAGGACCCCCACCAGAACCATGACTCCAGGGGGTGTGTCCCTAGGAGGGAGCCTGACCAGTGGACGAAGGTCTCCAGGTAAAAGTCATTTTGGAAGAAAAATAGACTGTTGAATGATAAAGTTAAAAAAGCAAACCACAGAATAGTGTAATGTGCCAAGAAAGATTTTCGTGTGAAACATATGAAACTCTTTTTGAAAATTTGATTGAAGCATTAAATAAAAATATCTCTTAACAGTGAAATCTGCCTTGAAGAAACCCCCACAAGCCACCAAGTCCCCAGGGTTACCAGATAAATCGGTCACCATGACAGGACCAAGGACATACCCACTGCCTGGGTCTGATGAACAGAGGGGCTCACAGAGTAAGATGTTTGATTATCACTGACACTATACACTGTATTTAGAGAGAAAGATTCTCAGTGTACGGAATGTGTACTTATTGAAGATATTTCCAAAATTTACAGCAAACATAGGTCAAGAACTGTACATAATCATGAATAAGTGCAGTCAGTATCTCTGTGTCATGTTCTTACTATTTACATGTATATTGCATCTTATTCTGGCAGTATTGATGTAATTCTGCACACATTGGATAACACCAATGGACATTATACAGAAATGTTTTTAAGCCATAACTATAAAAAAACTGAGTTGAATATTTTAACCATATTTCAATAACTTAAAAGTATACAAAAAAAATAAACAACACAGATAAGGGAGACCAATGAGTAACCTGTTTCTAATTATCAATTATTTGGTAGGTTTGAGTGACAAGGGAACTCGAGCCTTTACACCAGACCAAATGAACATGGAAGAATTGTTACAATCTGGGTATCTTTCCCAGACCTTCAGTCAGTCCTCCACTGGGAGAGTTCCCTCCCCTGAGCACCCCCAGAGACAGCTTAGTCCCACCCGTCTCAGCAAGGACAAGAAATCTCTAGGAATGACATACTCATTTGAATCTGAAGGAGGTGCTGCAAACTCATTCAGCGAATCGGAACTCCGACGACTCGCAGATTCTGATTCACTGAAGATGTCTGTGACCTTGCCCTCAATGGATGATTCTGAATTTCTCTAATTCTATTTTGTGTGTTTGGAATCTGAATTAATATTTATAAAAGTAAATTAGAATGCAAATTGCTTAATATATTCTGTTTTATGCTAGAGTCTCAATATTTTTTGTATATCCTGATTTATTATTTTACAAATTACAATGTACTTTATTTATTTGTACATTTTAGAAAGTTTACCTATATTTAATGCAGATAAATGTAATTATATCCGTATGAAAATTCAGATCTGATCAAATCACTCAGATTTCTGTGATGTGTGTAAATTATTATCCGTCCAGACTGTAGAGGTTTTTTTTGTGTTTTATGTTTTTTTTTTAATTGGTTAGATTCTTTTGTAGTGGTAAGAAATGTACATCATAATACATGTAATGTATTGCTGAATGTGATTAAGGAGGAAGCAACCATCAGTACACAACTGAACACAGTATCTCAAATTTTTATATTTAATAAAAGTGTGATTCTGACCAAATCATCAATTAGAATTTTAACTCTGAATATTTCAAAAATACAAATATCTTGTAGCTTTTCAACAGTACTTCCAGATATTGAAGTTTGCTTGTAATAGTATTTTAATTGTATTTAACTTGACTTATCATGTTATCAAGTTATTATGTGACCTTTTCCTGTTAAAGATTGAGCTATACATGTAGGTGAAAGATACCCCAGTACAATTAGTAGTTATCTCATGTAAAGTTACTATCCTGTAGAACAGTGTACTAGTTGTTCTTTGGACCATTTATAATAAATATAAAACAATTAATCTCTTAACAGACTATTTTTACGATATCTCTTCAACCTCATTTTGGAATATGTCTCATTATGTAAACCAGATTAGGTAACATATGAGTTGTGAGAAGATAGCCCTTCCCAAGCTGTTTATTAATTGGTAGAAGCAAATTAATGTCATTAGCAGCAAAGTATAGTTTGAACAACATTTTTAAGTTCAACACAACATGTTGATTTGACTCTACAAGACCTTTACACCTTGCCACTTGATGTTTTTGTCCACACATGGTACAATTGCTGTAAACAACCATGACCCTTGTTATAGAACTATACACTTGGACCTGTCCTTGATGTGTCATATTGTCTATGTATTCAAGTATAACAGGTGGGGGGCCCACAACTCTAAATACTAGTAGGGGCTGGTTATTGGGTAAACAAGTCTGACTGGCATTATAGCATACAAGTATAAACCTTCCTGGATTCAGTATACATTGTACATTAACCAAGGGAGGATGCCAAAAAAAATCATTGTAAAAAGCCATTGTACGTCCTCTTTCTCCTATAAAACTAAATTCTTCTCATAATTTAATCCCTCCAAAGTAGGAGTTTTGGAAACGGTGCACTTTGCTTCCTTTGGGCTGATGACGCTAAAAACCCACTGGCCTTAAGAAGGATTGGAAAAGTTGGATTGTTGGGCATATACATGTACTTGCCAAGGTATGTCACTGCAAAGCTCTCTGCACAACAGTGGATACCCCCTCCTCAAATCTTTTTAAAAAAAAAGGGGGGGGGTCCCTTCCGTCCTCACTCCTCTCTCTTTCCCTCTGCGATCACTGCAATATTCACTTTCCGTATGGTCACGCTGGAAAAGGCCACGAGTGTATTTTTCTGACCATGAAATGTCGGAGGGCAGTAGTACAACCTGGACACGTTCTTGTACTTGATAGTGCTATTGGCCATGGAAATACTTATCTTCAAGGCCGTGTGGTTTGCACAAATATTTAATGATAAATTGATAACTGCGTCTGTCTCTGTCTGGGTATAGATAAGGGTTTGTCAGTGTAGTCAGCATTTTTTAACCGATAAATGATTAACGAATTGGATGTTTAACAGTTCGCTGACTACCCCATTACCTCCGATTACAAGTGTCCACAACAGAGTGACGGGGTACTTGGGGCAGTAAATTTACTGGTTCAGTAATTGCTAGTTTCCAGTTGCTCGTTATGTTATTGTCATAGTATAGTCTGTATTGCTAATACACGGGTGGGTTTGAGGAGCTCACACCCCTGAATTTATGTAGCATTAAAAAAACACTATTCCCCTTCTCCAAGCCCGTAGCAACGGGTTCAAAAGTGAGAGGGGGGTTAAACAAAAAAAAAACTCCGACAAGCAAAAAACAAACTAATCGACCGTCCACATCCTTGAATTTGCCAGTGCTCGACCTTACAGCAACAAAAAGTAGGAGGGCCAGCATCTAAAGGAAAATTTACTATAGCCATAGCAAAATACAAGTCTACAGTCTAAAATGACATGCAAAAATAAGATCAAGCCGTCTTTCCATGGGTTAAATTCTTTTTTCAGCGATAACAAAAGTAATAAAATGTTTATAATATGCTAACCCAAAGGGTCAGAATGAATACCAGGTTGTTAAATTCACTCGATTGATTAATATTTTATTTAACATTTAGGAGGTTCAACGTAATTTGTCCAGTGGACGTTTAGCTTTAACGTAATGCACCAAAATGCGCACAAGTGTGATTTGAGTATTTAACCAGCTTTATCATACACAAATCGAAAGCTCAATATTTGTTCGTTTGTTTAAATACAAGTATTTTTTTTGGCTCATATTTCAAGTACAGAGATCGCGATAGGGCACCAGTTATGCTAGTGGCACTATTAAAAGCATGACGTCAATACTTCCGTAACTATTGAACGCTATGAAATTGTAACATCACGCAGAAAAAGAGCCCCTCTCCTCCTCCCCCCCCCCTCCCCGTGTTCTACGGGCCTGTTCTCACTTTGTGCCCTGGCACCTTGTAGCATTTAGCGTAGTCCGAAATATCTGACGTTTTCCAGCCTTTTTCACGATTTTGATAGCACGTAAAATATCAAAATCGTAAAAAAGCCAGGAAAACGTCAGATTTTTCGGACTACATTTAGCAACGAGCAACTAATATTGACCAAATAGCAGTGATTGAGCAACCAGCTATAAGCAACCGACAGTAAGTAAGGGACAGTACGAAAGCAATATTGATTCGGGATTTCCATTTAAGGATATACACAACGTACCTTACCTACTGATAATTTTTCAAGATATTCTTAATTTAAGATTATAGTGCCATCAGATGTTCGTAGAAAAAATAGCAGCGTGCATTACCAGGGGTTTTGAAAAGATATCAATTGATAAAAATTCTTGAATAATTCAAAGAAAAATTTACAAAAATTACTAAACATACATTCAAAATGTTTTGTTTATCCAAACTTGTTTTAGAAGAAGTGTATAATAGCATATATAGACATTAAAATGTAGCAAAGAGTTCTTTTTAGTGTTGGAACTCCTCAATTCCAGGGAAAAAGACAATAAAGTTCAAACCACGTTGCGTATGTCCTTAGCAACGTATTGTTATTTTAATGTACATTCTTAGTATTTACTCAATTCGAAGACAGTGCATTCAATTCGATGTATACTAGGTTATTAATCTGCACTAACTAATTACTTGTTATGAAATCAATCGTTCGTGAAGTAGTAAGCAGTAGGAGAGAAAATCTACCAATCAGAATACGATAATTATAATTAATTGACGTCGCTACTTTGGGAAATACAAAGTTTACATCTACGCAATAAAAGAGGCGGAAACTGTGATATTTGTCTGTGTTTATCTCTACCAATAAAACAATTCACTTATTCATTATATTCTGGTAATCCCGAAGTCTATTCCCTTGCAAATAAGACAAAACAGCGCGAAAATTGCGATACTAATAGTTCCACCTAATGGAACATCAAATCACGTGCCTACGTAAAATGTGAAAAACTACATATATATTTCTACATTCTCTGAAAAGACAACTTTATAAACTCAAGTGAATATTAAGTCACAGAGCTTGCTCCTGGTGTGTGAAAAATATTCAGTAAAACAAAATATGTACGAACTACTAAAACAACACGTTTTAGTAGTTCGTATATATATTTTTTAATAAATACTCTTTACACACCAGGAGCAAGACCCTATGATTAAGTCAAGAAACCGATAACTTATAATCTAGCTTAGTTTCAGCATCAAAATAAGTACGTTTTAAAAACGGGCTTAAATGTGCACGATTCAAGGGCTGATTTTTTTTTTAATTCCCACTTCTTTCAAATAGTCGGGGGGAAAATATTATAATCATGTCTTTTGTGATGCCCATTATATCTGATCAACCCCTAGTTCACCAAACGAACACTCCAGAAACTGAATGCACAATGTTCAAGTGAGAGGCCTTTTAAATTTGACTTTTATATTATTTATATTGAAAATTGGACCTGCGTTTTAGTTGCTGCTTATCTCTCAAAAGAGCGCACACCAGACCAAATATTGTGAAAGGGCTTCTTTTTTTTCTTAAACTCACTCGTGACTGTGTAATTTGTGAAGCACAGATACTCTTTGTGTAATATAAGCAATAATTGTGAGCTAATTGATGAAGATCCATCCAGTTTAAAAATTATATTTTTCAACAAACTTTATTTTCATTTCAGTATTGTTAAGTAAGTTTCTTTCCAAATACTCAGGAATTTGGTAAGAAATATAGACAGAATTTAGATATTAAAATATCTTTCAAAAGTTTTTAGTTTTGCCAACTACCGTATATATACCTACAAGTACATATTTTTTTTTAAGTTAACCTTTCAACTTTACAGTGACAGACACGTAATTAAATTAAGGTTCATTGACCCTCTGATATGAGAGATAACTCACACTAAGATAAGTCGATATTATTCCATTTATAAAACTGTCCAGTTTAAAACTGCAAGATACTAGTATGCTGAAATTTCTAACTCTAATTACGGAAGAATAATATTGCTAATACATGGGTGAGTTTGAGGAGCCCACTCTCGTGAAATTTTCTGTGGGCAATGGATATAAATCATGAGACAAATAAGTGGGAGGGGGGTTAAAGATTTATTTTTACTTTAACGTAGAATTAAAAACACTATCCCCCTTCTCCAGGCCCGTAGCAACGGATTCAAAAAGTGCAGGGGTGGGGGCTTACCAAAAAAAAAAAAACTCTGATGACAAGCTAAAATACAAGAAAAACAAAGAAAAGAGTAATTAATCGTCCACATCCTTGAATTGGCCAGTGCTCGACCTTACAGCAACAAGCATCTATAAAGGAAAATTTACTATAGCCGTAGCAAAGTCTAAAACGACCTGCAAAATAAGATCAAGCCGTCTTTCCATGGGTTAAATTCTAATTCTTTTTTTCAGCGATAACAAAATTAATAAAATGTTTATAATATGCTAATCCAATGGGTCAAAAAGAAAGTCAGGTTGATAAATTCACTCGATTAATCAATATTTTACGAAACATTTAGGACGATCAATGTAATTTGTCCATGCAGTGGAATTTGAATATTAACCAGCTTTATCATACACAAATCGAAAGCGCTATTACAAGTAGTTTTTTTATTTTGATTTTTTTAAATCATATTTCAAAGAAAAGAGATCGCGATAGGGCACCAGTTCTGCTAGTAGCACTATAAGAAGCATGACGTCAATACTTCCGTGACGCTATGAAATTGTAACATCACGCATAACGTCAATACTCAGAAAAAGTGCCCCCCCCCCCCCACGCGTTAAACGGGCCTTTTCTCACTTTGTGCCCTGGCCCCTCGTAGCATTTAGCAATGAGCGCTAATATTTACCAAATAGCAGTGATTGAGCAACCAACAATAAGCAACCGACAGTAAGTAAGGGACAGTACGAAAGTAATTTCCATTTAACAACGTATTGTTATTCTAATGTACTTAAAAATTCGAGGACAGTGCATTCTATTCGA